CTCCTTCCAGGAAATCCGCCGCGTCTCCGCCTCGCCCCCCACGCGCGAATGAGCGTGCGCTGCCGCGTCCAACCCGCGCCGCGCAGCCTCCTGCCGGGCCGCCGCGCGTCGCCGCGCCCGGCAGGCGCGCGTCGGCAACGCAGCAACGGCCCCCGCGCAAGTAGTCGGCGAGCAGCGCCTGCAAACGCGCCCAGGCCCCGGCCCCGACCTTCCAACGGAAGGCGCGTCTGTTTTCGCCGCGAAACCACGAGACGCACTTAGGATCGCTCAGCCGCTGGAACAGGGCTTCCATGTGCCCGCCCGCGCCGTGCCGCGGCAGGGGCGGGGCGTCTCGCCTCCTCAAAGCATTCTCGACCGCGTGGCGCGCCGCGTTGAACGCCTGCCTAGCCCGCCTGCCCATCCGCGCGCCCGCGTGCAGCAGCCAGCGTAGCACTTGGGGGCCCATCTTGGCTATGCTCGCACCCGCGTTGCGGAGGTTTCTCGGGGCCTCGCCCTGCGCCCTCTCGTTAGCTCCGAAACCACCTCAAGGATGGCGGGGGTTGGCGCGCGCGTCGCCTGCCTCGGACCTTCCGGGGGCCCTTCCGCCGCGCGTAGCCGCCGCTCCCCGCAGGCCAGCACTCCGGCAGCTGCTGCGCGCCGGCTCTCGGCGCACCCACCCGACCCGGCGCCTGACGCCGCGCCCGCTGCGGCCTGAGTCCGACCCCTCGGAGTGAGCAGCGCCGCCCTGGGCTGGGCCTGGGGCGGCGGGGGCGGCGCAGAGGGCAGCCGCGCCGACCTCGACCCGGCTGCGTCCTTCCCCGCCGGGCCCGCCTGGCACGACTCCTGCGCCTTCGGCTTCGCCGTGGCTTTCGACTTCGGCGTCGCCCCCTGCCCCCGGCGACCCCCCCTCCTTGCCCTCGCCCGTGCACTCCTCATCGGAAGCTCCTCCTCGCTCGGGGGGGGGCGGCAAGGGGCTGCGGCCCCGGCGGGCGTGGGATCCACTCGGGCTGGCGGGCCGCTTCCTGAGGCCCTCGTCGCTGGCCCGGTCGACGCGTTCGTCCGACGGGCTTCCTCGGGCCGGGCGGCCCCCCGCCCGAGGCCCCCGACCCCCTGGTGGGCCTCGTCGCTCTCCCTTGCCTTCTCCTCGATCTCCGCGAGCTTGGCCCCCCGGGGCCCCAGCTGTCCGACGAGCATCTCCGACGAGGATGCGCGGCCGATCGAGCTTGGGAGCCAGCTCGCACTGCGCCGCCATCGCCTGTCCCCCCCCTTGGCCTCGACCTCGAATCGGGCTTCCCGCGGCATCGGCCCCGCTGCCGCGGCCCCCCATCAGGTGCTCAAATAACGCTTCATCAATCGCCCTCCGCAGAAGCTGCTCCGGATGCCGGCGCGCGAAGGACACCAGGCCCTCGCCCGCCCATGGGGGGGCCAGGCGAAAACCCGACCACTCGCTGTCTTTCTCCTCAGTTTCACGCTCACCGCCAGCGCTGGTCGCAAGCCTCAGCCCTGGCCTCGGACTTCGGTTCTCCTCAGGCTTGTCGGCAAACGCTCTCGTTCGGTGCTGCACCGCGCGCTCTGCCGAGACCTCGCCGACACCCGTCGTCGGGGCAAGGCGGCAGGGCTCATTCCGACCCCCTGGCGCGTCAGTTATGAGCTTCGCCCACAACTCTGCAAGACGCCTCTCCAAATCTGGCCTGCGCGATGCTGTTGCGCTGCCGTCCTTGGGGGCGCCTAGGGCGTCGTCGTCCGCGCCGAAGACAGCCGCCCCTCCCGCTGGGTCGCCTTTCGGGGCTTCGCCCCTCTCACTCGCAGGCGGAGCCGGGGGGCGTTCGATGGGGAGCTGTGGCGCTGGACGGGGGGCGTCGAAGTCGGGGCGCAGGCGGTGCGAGTTCACCCCGAACGAACCCTCAGCCTTTTTCTGGAGTCGAGACCATGCAGTAGCCTGCCGAGCCCTGGCAGAAGTGCACGAGTCTGTCACCACCGGGGCCACGCAGCAAGGAGAGCAGCATGGCAGCGCCTGCCCCCTTGACCACGTCCATGAACTCGCCCTCCTAGAAACAGCCGTTTCTGCCGTTGGCTGTGAACGAGCCACCCTTCGCGACAATGGTGGAGTGCCTGGAGAGCCCACGGTACTCACCCCTGCACTCGAGCACGTCTCCGTCCCTACGGCAGCAAGCGGCGTGCGCCAGTCGTCCCCGCCACCCGTCGTCCAGGGCTCTGGCCGCTTCGCCTCGGGTCGCGTCCACGCCGCCGCCTTGCCGAGGGGCCTTGGACGGGGTGGCGGCTCCTCATCATCGGTAAACGCAGGAAAAGGTTCTGCTGGCCTGCTCTTCCCGTGGCTGTGCCGCTTTTCTCTTTGGTGTCGCTCCTCCATCCTCGTCGCTTTCAGCCGCTGGCCGCTTGAGAGCAGCGCCCGAGCCTGGCGGCGAGGCGGACGCTGGGCGGCCCTTCTTCATCATCCCCGCCTTACGGGCGACACGCTGCCGCCAGGCGGGCGCGCGGGCTCGACGCCCCTTGCCTGTAGGCGGCCAGCGCCATAGCGGGCGGACCCCAGGGGTTCGGGGTCTTGCCTGTCGGCGCGAACCGCCCCACCCTGGGCGGCATGGCCAGCCGCGCGCACGCGAGCGCTGGGAAAGCGCACCTCCACGTCCGTTTTGGGCCCTTGAGCCCAGGCAGCTACGGAACAAACCGTCGAGCTCCCTCCCACAATCCCCGCCATGCTCCTACGAACGATGGACAACCGAAGAGCACATTCCTCCTCCTCATCATCAACAACAGCAGCATCTGTACCATCCACCACCATCACCATCACCATCACCATCACCATCACCATCACCATCACCATCACCATCACCATCACCATCACCATCATCATCATCATCATCATCATCATCATCATCATCATCATCATCATCATCATCAGCATCATCATCATCATCATCCCCATCCTGATCCTCATCTTCATCCTCATCCTCATCCTCATCCTCATCCTCATCCTCATCATCATCATCATCATCATCATCATCATCATCATCAGCATGATCATCATATTCATCACCCTCATTTTCACTATCATCATCATGAACATCAACATATACATCAACATCATCATGTTTGTATACAACGTTCTCAGCATTTGCACTATCATCACCATCATCATCCACAGCATCATCACCATGCCCCTCGTCAGCATCATCAACATCAGCATCTTTATCATCACCGTGATCGCTCAGCATGATCATCCTTACCATCGTCAACACCATCACCATAATCAGCGCCATCATCAGTATCATCAGTGACAGCAGCCTCGTCATTAGCATTATCATCATCATCAGCATGATCATCATCATCATCATCATCATGACCATGACTATTCATCAGCATCACCATCACCCTTATCACAATCATCATTATTAGCATCATCGTCACCACCAAAACCATCATCGTCATCATCATCAGCAGCAGCAGCCCTCGTCCTCTATCTTCCCTACCTCCTCCTCCTCCTCCACCACCACCTCCTCCTCCACCACTACCTCCTCTTCACCACCATCACCACCAACATCACCATCCTAATCAGACCATGGCAAATCGTGATTCCTTTTTTCTACTTCCTCCTCATCCTCCTCCCCTTCCCCCTCGTCATCCATATCCACTGCCCCCCTCACCCTCATCCGACCCCCATCCTTTCCCCCCTCGGGTCTCCTACTGTTCCTCCTCTTCCTCCTCTTCCTCCATCCCTTCCCTTGGGCACGTGTGCCACTGAGTACCCTCGTGCGTCCCAGGAAAGCAGGCGGGTAGCAGCCCGTTCGTCACCCCTGTTTGCCCGTAGCGGGCCAGGAGAAGATAAAGTTGCACTGTCGTCGCCACGTTGCGTCCCCCTTGCGGTGGCCCACCTGGTACCCCGCCAAGGCTCGAGCGGGGTCGCGGGTCGCCTACGGGCGGCTCAGCGGGGGATTCCCACCCGCTCTTCACGGAACGGGTGCCCCGCCCAATGCGTGCGTGGCAATGGGAGTCGGCTGGGGAAGAGGCCCCCCTTGCCTGGCTTGGGGCGGCACAGAGTGTGCGTCGTTATCTGAGCCCTATGGGGTGGGCGCGGGTCGAAACATGGTCTGGCGCTGAGCCAAGGAGTGGGACCCGTCGCGGCACAGCCCGCGCAGAGCGATCGCCAAGCTTGTTCGCGTGAGAGCGCGCCCACAGGCGCGGAGGAACCCGCAACCGCCGAGGGCGAACGCTGCCCGTTCGGCCGCTTCTCTGCCCTTTGTATGGGTCTTCTATAATATCCCTACGTGGTGGCAGAAGTCCTGGACGTCCACCCCTTCCCAAAAAAATACCCTCTCCGGATATCACTACCAAACGTGTCGGCCGGTCGGGCTGGGCTTCCTGAGGCTCCCCCCCGTGTGTAACCCCGAACCTTAAACATTCAAACAGCTGCACGGATGGCAGAGGTGTTTTGCATGAGACTCTCTCTTTAGCGTCGCGCGAACTTCTCTTCAGCAGGCCGCGCACGTTCGCCCAACATATTTCCAAGCATTACAGAAACGGAAAGCACCTGATTTTGATAATGTAGTTCTCGCCTTGACGCTGCGCACACTCATCATACAATAGTCTAGCAGCTCCACGGAGGGAGAGGGCGGTTCTCAAACAACTGTCCCCACCTGCGCACAATGAAGATCCGCCCAAATAGTTCCAACGGTTACACAGACGCAAAGCGGCGAATGTTATTAACGTGGCTCCGACTCCAAAGCCGCGCGCAATCGTCGTTTGGTTTCGTTACCCAACCCTCAATGTCCTCCCGTTCCTCCTCCTGCATCCCCTCCTCTCCTTCTTTCTCCTCCTCTTAATGCCTCCTCCTCCTCCTCCTCCTCCTCCTCCTTTGTGCCTCCTGCACCTCCTCCTTTTTGTTTCCTCTTCCTCCTCCACCCCCCCCTCCTCCTCGTCCTCCTGCTCCAGATATACTACATCCTCAAACAGCCCCCGAACTTTCACACTTGCAGAAGCAGTCAAAGGAGGGCGCAATAAGCGGCCTGTTCCTGATCCGAGAGCGTCTTCAGGACATTCCTGCGGCGCGCACATGTTGTTTTCCTCCTCCCCGTCCTCCTCCTCGTACAAATCCGTCTCCTTGTCCGCGTCCTCCACCTGTTTTTCCTCCCCCTCCTCCGCCTCCTCCTCCTCTTCCTCCTCCCCTTCCCCTCGTGCTCGTCCTCGTCCTCGTCCTCCTCCTCGTCATCCTTCCTCGTCCTCTTCCTCCTCCTCCTCCTCTTTTTCCTGCACCTCCTCCTTTTCGGCCTCCTCCTTCTTTTCCTGTTTTTCTTCCTCATCCTCCTCCTCCCCTCCTCATCCTCCTCTTTTTCCTCCTTCTATCTTCAATCCCTGTCCCTTATGAGTACTTCCTCCCTGTCGACATTCGAAGCCGGTCCAAGGACTGGGCGTTTGTTCGAAGGCCCCCTCACCATCTACAATCCCGAAGCTAGAGAGTTGCAAAGTCTTTCCCGGTGGGGGGGGGTCCTGCCTTAGCGCCGCACGCAAACTGCAAGAGCTTCACGAATGAAGAGCAGGCTGTGTTCAAAAAGCTGCTCTTGCGCCAGCTCCATTGTCATTCAATTTGAACATTTCAAGGGCTTCACGAATGGAGGGCGGGCCGTGTTCACAAAACGGGGATCTAGCACAGCGTACATTCGTCCGACAAAAGAGAACCACACGGATAGAAAAGGCGTGCCGTTTTCTATATGTAGCTCTCACGTCAGCACCGCGCGCTTTCGTTTCGAAGTTTGCAATAGTTCCACGGATAGATGGCGGTTTCTTTTCAACATGCGGTTCTTCCCCCAACGCCGAACGCATTCGTTCTAAGATTTTACAGCAACTCAAAGATTAGCATGATTAGCACGATGTCGGAATGTCAGGGCGCACCAGGGCACTTCCTTCAATGGCAGGAGATCTTGCGAGCCCTTGTATGGGGCTATGGAGAGGGAGTTTGGAGGGAGGGTGTATTGCAATATCGTTGATAGGTGTTGGGTTTACACTGGTTTTCCTCCTCCTATTCGCCCTCCTCCTTCCCCTCCTCCTGCTCCTCCTCCTCCTCCTTCTCCTCCTCCTGCTGCTGCTGCTGTTCCTGCTCCTCCGTTCCAGCCATTAGGGGTCCAGCACCACTGTGGCATCCGACGCCAAACCTCGAGCCTCCACGCGGTGTTTGGGGGGGCTGCGCGCCCACCACTCACATTATGTTCGGGTGAGAAGTTGCACAAGGGACAATGAGGCCTCGCTCGCGTGCGCGAGTCCAGGCCGCACTTGCGCGGGATGCGGCGCTCGCGAACACAATCACAAGAGGCAGCAGGCTTTTCTTCAGGGGAAGGGCGGAAAGTGGTATCGCCCAGCGGAGCTCTGCAAGCCCAGTCAGACCAGTCAGACCTTTGAAATCTTTCGGGCAACGGGCAGGCCGCCCCATTGCCTATCATCCACTCGCTGGCAACCGCTGGCCATGATGACCGACCCGTGCTGCAAGAAGGTTCTGGCTAATCATACCGCGGAGACGCAGGGGGAGGCGGCCAGCCGCGCCGAAGGAGCGTGGATGGGCGCCAAGACAAAGCACAACCAGGCTGCTGCGGCAGCACCGAAATGCGATGCCAGGATAACCTCGACACCGCGATGCTGAAAGAGCTGGAGGCAGCTCGGGGTTAGGCGCTGGATGGGATCAGCAAGCGCACGGCGGCAACGGCTTTGGCTAGCGAGGCGGGCGCTGTCACGGCAGACGCCAGCGGCGAACTGGCGATGCCCGTGGCGGGGGCGGAGGTGGCGCGGCAGAGCAGCCCACGATAAACGCGACATGGGGCGAGGAGTTCTGCGAGCAGCTCGACGCGATGGAGCGGCCGCCGCACGAGCGCGAAGAGGTGAAGCAGGTAGACACGAAGCTGCCCGCGGCGAAAGAGAGCACTGGCAGCAAGACCGAGAAGGCGGCCGCGCGGCGGGCCGAGGTCCTGAGCACGCGCCAGGAAGTCCAGGATCGCATCGCCACGAAGGCGGAGACCGACGGCGGCGAGGAGGGCGGCGGCAGCACACCTGCAACAGGCTCGGGCGGAGGCACAGGAGGAGCAGCGGCGGCAGCAGCGCCAGCCGCAGCGCCGCCAGACACCGCGCCGGCAGCGGGCGCGCAGCCAGGTCAGCCGTCGGAGGACGACATCGAGAAGGAGACGGAGGATGTTCGGCAGGCTGCTGCCGAGGACGCGTGGGCCGCCGAACAGGCGGCCCCAGTTGCGCGCAACTCTGCGGCGACAGGGCCCGCGGCGCCCGTCGCCGCCGAGCCGCAGCAGCCGCGCGGGGAACCTCGCGACGGGGAGGGGCAGCAGTCGGCTTGCATGCTATGTCGGCAACATCACGGCCCCGAGGAGTCCTTGGGGGACGTCAGCTCAACGCCCACACTGGCCAATAATGAATACATTGGCGTGGCGGGCTCGCACGCGGGCGCACGCTCGAAGGCTTTGTAGGGAACTCCCCAGGGCGAAAGCGTCAAAGCTCAAGCACTTCGGTAAACTCTCCAGGGCGACGAACAGATCGACTTCGCAGGCGGGAGATGGTCAGTCACCCTTGCGAGGGCGGGGAGATCCCCCCGACCCGCTGGCATCGGGCTGCTCGAGGGGGCCAGTGCCAAGTGCGCAGAGGCTCAGATGCCCAAGAGGGTTTCATGTCCGAGCTAGTCACCACGGTTTGCTCCTCCAGTTCTCAGCGCATCCGTCAGTTGTTTCTTCAGGAGCGAATGCTCAGCGAGCGCCACGTCAATTGGGGTGTTTCTGTCATCGGTCAAGGTTGCATGGCTCGGGATATGCTACAATTACATTGACGTTGGAGCGTTTCAGAAGTCTGCTTTCTGCCGTCGCGCCAGAAGTGCCATTCGTCGAGCCGGCGTTGAGCGCACGCGCATGGGCAGTTCAGGCTGCTCGCGCATCGACTTCGCAACGGCGTCAGCGCGTTGCATTCCGGGCGCCGCGCCTGATGCTCCGCGGGCCCCACGCATAGGTTTCGGCTTGAGAATGAGAGACTCAGGGGGGCAACCTCGCATGGGACCCCCGCTCGGCGCTGCCGGGTTGCCTTGAGACCCGCGACCGCCTGCGTCGGCATCTGCCAGCTCTAAATCCGTCTCGAGATGGCCGAGCGAGCTGAGAAGGAAAGAGATCGGCGCGCAAAAGAAACTGATGAGACGTCTGGGGGTCCGTTCCTCGACCCTGGAGACGTTGACCCCATTCCTGGACGCTCGCCGCGGGTCGACGACGACTTGGCGGCGAACGACGGCGCTGGCTCGACAATTCTCCGGGGGGGCGGCGGGGGGGGGGGCGGGCCGACGAATCCCCCTTTCACCCGGGCCCACGCCTTGAGCAACGCGTTCGCGCTAGTCCTGGCGGGGGGCCCGCCCGTCGCCGAGAGGCGAATGAGACGCCGCCCACCCAGCCCCCCTCCAGCCGAGGGCCCCTGGAACGATGGCCCGACGGCGGGCCGGGCTGCAGACCTCGCCGCCGCCGATGCTGCTGCGTCTCCCGCCTCTCTCCCCGCTCGCGGTTACCTCATCCCCGGCGCGGGTGGCCGCTTTGGTCGAAGCCCCCCGGGCGGCGCGCTCTCTTCGCGACGCTTGGCATCCTGTTCGTCAGTCGCTGGCCATCCAGGCTGGCGCGCAGCGTGCGCCCGCCGCCTGCGGGGCCATCTCGCGGCAGGTGGCAGCCGCGGAGATCGCCGTCGCTGGCCAGCGCGGCCTCGCAGCTCCAGTGCGCCCGAGACGCACGGGCTGCGAGTCGAAGGTGGCGGCGGCGCAGCAGGCAGAGCGCGTTCGGCAAGAGCCGCTGAGAGATGGCACGTCTACCTGGCGGCCGGGAGAACGCAATGCGATTCAGAGAGTTCTGCGTCGCCAAGAGGCGGAGCAAAGGGAACGCACAGCACGGGCACCTTCCTACGGCCATTTCGGTGCTCGCGGACCAGCCAGTTGATGGAGCTGGAGCTGCCTTTCCAACACCTGCATTGTCTTCGGAAGCTCTGTTGGGACATTCACCCCGCTCACTTCAATGGCCAATTGATGAACTCTCCATGTTCGAAGAGAAGGCCCCCAGGCCTCCCAAAGGGCTCGCACCAAGGCCGCCTCAGCGTCTCTTCCGGGTCTTTCACCGTGGCTCAGTAGCACGGTAACGGCATGGGTCGGCCACAAGTCTTTGAGGGATCCTGAACCCGAGCGCGACGAGCTACACGGCCATGACGGCGCTGTCCTGGCCCATCCAAAGGCCGTCTGGGACAGGGGGGTGGAGCGTGACATCATGCCGCGGCGCCCCGGGCGCGACGGCTCATATCTGCGAGCGCGCGGAGGCCGAGCAGCTCGCGCCCCCGTCCGTCGCCGACGCGCGGGCCGCGCTGGCGCGCGCGAGAGCTCGAGCGGGCCTCGGGGTAGACGGCCTCTTCCCGGCGGACCTCGAGCGCCTGCCCGGCGAGGGGGGCCAGGCCCTCTGCAACCTGGGCCCGAGGATGCAAGCGGGCATGTCGCGGCCGCGGCAGGCCGTGCACGCGGTGCGCAGGCCGCTCGGCAGAAGTCGGGCTGCGGCGGCGTCGTCGGCCTAACCCCAACGCCGCGCCGCGCGCGGCCCATGGCCAGAGAGGCGCAGGTGAAGGGGCGGCCCCAAGCGCAGGTCAAGACGGGCCACTGGGACGCGGCCATCGCAGGGAACAGCGCCAAGCGGGAAGCGCTCGTCAGATCGCTACAAGACGAATCAAAACTCGCCTCAGCCCCGCGCGGCGAGGCAGTTTATGTAGCACTTTTTCTACGGTTCGATTGAGTTGGAGCATGTAGCGCGGCGCGCCCATGGCAAATCGCCCCCAGCGGTCATTCTATGTTTGGAGCTCCAGATCTGCCTGTCGCCGCGGGCACTGGGGCAGCTCGACTCGTTCAGCGAGCCTTTCCAGGTGACGCGCTCGGCGGTGCAAGGGCCCAGGTTCGGCGCGGGGTTCGCCGAGTGCCCGACGGCCGTCGCAAAGGGTCGTGTCAAGGACCCATCACCTGCACGGTTCGACTGAAGAGGGGCGCAACGCGGCAGGCTGAGAAGGCTCAGGGAAGCACCGCGAGACTGCCCCGCTCTGAAAAAACATTCGGCCCTCGAGCCAGGACGATGCTCATGCCACGTGCCGAGGTCTCCGGCGAGAGTCCCGTCTGGAGAAGGAGCCGCCCTGGGTCCGTAGAGCGGCGGCGGCTACACACCGTGGAGCTCCGGGCCACGAGGTGTGAGAACTCGGCCACGGTCTGGCGACGAGCTGGCCTCCATCTGCTCAGCTGTTGACATTTGTTCCAGCGATCCTGCGCGGCGCTAGAGCGAGAGCTGCGTATGGACCCCCCCTCGGCGCCCGTGAAACTGCGATCGTTCTAAGACGAGTGTGCGCATCGCGAAGGCAAGAGCACCATCTAAAAAACGAACCGGCCTCCATTCTAGTAAGTGCTGGAAGCCTTCAAATCGCATGGGCACGACGCAAAAGGGCGAGCACCACATGTCGAAAATCCGACGACCCTGTCGGCGTGTGGAGGAGGCTCTTTCGTTCGTTGCTGGTTCATTCCTCGTCTCCTCGTCCTCGTCGTCGCCTTCGCCATCTACAAAGCGCCAGCCGTTGCCTCTCTTACCCTGGGCCTTTCTCTTCAAGCGTGCTAGCAAAAATGACAATAACGCACGTTGTAATTCATTCGAAGGGAAGCCCCTTCTCTTGATCCATCCATTCCCCGCCAAGGGTGGGGGATCCCGGGGAGGGGTCCCAGGGGAGTCGACGCGGGGGGGGGGTCCCGGGTCAGAATGCCCCCCCTCTCCCCCAGGGAGTCCCAAAGCCTAAAACCCCCCAAGACGAACCAAGGCTGCCCCAAGAGGCCGCCAAGACGGTCCAGGAGGGTCCCGAATCGCCTAACTATCGGTCCAAGACGCCAAAGTAGCCTACAGATGGCCCAAGAGGTTTCCAGACGCCCCAAGAGGTCTCTAAGGGCACGTCCAAAAGAGAGCCCCAGGAGGCAAACATGATTGATTTTCGTAAGGGTTTGGATGGATTTGGGATTCTCGCCTTTTCGGCTTCCCGACGCTTCAAGACGGCCCAGGAGGCTCCCAAGATCGCCCAAGAGGCCTCCAACCCAGCCTAAGAGGCCCCCAAGACGGCTCCAAGAGAGTGCCCAGACGAGGGACCCGAACGGACATATCGAGCCCTCGGCTTGAGAGGCCCCCAGGAAGCGCCAAGAAGACCCCAAGACCCCAAGAAGCCTCCAAGATGCGCCCGGGAAGCCTCAAGAGGCCCCCAGGAGCCTCCCAACACAACAGGCCCCCAAGAGGCTCGCAAGAGGACCCAACATTACCCCCCAGGAGGCACCCGAGAGCGCTTCGAAGAGACCCCGGGAAACATCCCTGAGGACTCTGACCCACGTCAGCATCGTCGTCGTCGTCGTCGTCGTCGTTCAGGGTCGGCGGCACAGGCCGTAAGGACTCTCCAATAACCGGCCATCAGTCCTGGCAACTGTTGCAACGAGTTTCCAGCTGTTTGGTTATCAGTGTGGGGAGCTCTTGAACGACACGCCTAGACTGGACAACGAACACGTCGGGTGGTTTGACAGAAGGTAAATACCTGCAAGGACGTGGGGCGGAGGGAGAGAGGAGGAAGAGAAGTGCTCCTCCTTCTCCTCCTCCTCGTCCTCCTCCTCCTCCTCCTGCTCCTCCCCCCCCCTCCTCCTCCTCCTCCTCCTCCTCCTCCCCCTCCTCCTCCTGCTCCTCCTCCTCCTCCTCCTCCTCCTCCTCCTCCTACCCACCCTTCTCCTCCTCATCCTCCTCCTTCTCCTCCTCCTCCTCCTCTTCCTCCACTTCCTCCTCCTCCTCCTCCTCCTCCTCCTCCTCCTCCTCCTCCCATCTACGCCTCTCCCTTGTCCTACTTCTCCTCCTGCTCCTCCCCAACTTCCTTTCTCCCCCTCCTGCTCCTCACGCTCCCCCTCCTTCTGCCCCTCCCGATCCCTCTTCCTTTTCTCCTTGCCCTCCTCCTCCTCCGCTAGACAGCAGCGGGGGGCTCCTCCTGTCGTTGTCCCCGTACAGCATCTGGAAGCACACATGGGAGCTCATGTTCTCAAGCGGGGCCTTGTCGTTGTAGACCAGGGACTCCGCAGGAGGGGCAGGATGACGGCCGACCATGCTCTGAACAGGGGGGAACGGAAAGGATACCGCTCCCGCTGGACCAGCACGCTCCACTGCTCGCCAGGTAACTACTCGCAGATGGCCTGGCTCCGCCGCGAGGGATCCACGATCCATCACATCGGCGGCAAGCATGTTTTCGGACGTTTGCGAGTAGGCACCAAGGATCGACCTAAACAGCGTGCTGCGTTTTCGTGTTGTGTTCGGTTTCCCGTGTTTTGTATTCAATCCACCTTGGCTGCAAAACGATATCGAAACGAAAATGGCTCACGACATCGCGCAAAAAAAAACACCGTTTGGGTCGATCCTTTGCACTTTGCGAATAATGGAACGCGCCCGGAGAACCGCTACTCCCCTGACCTCACACAGGGTGCGTTCGTTCTGACTCGGATATTACGGGGTGAGTCCAGCCGTGGCAACGAGGAGCGCCCAGACCTCCCACGTTGTGAGACTTGACAAGACGTGGACACCTCGAACCGTCACCCCGTCTCCTTGCTTGACAATGCGAGCGCCTGGCGGGGGCCAGGAAAGGGGAGCAGGAGATAGAGGCAGGGAACAGGAAGAGGGCCATGCCACGGCATCACGCGCCCCGCTGCGGTCTCTCCGGACTCTCTTCCCCTCTCCTCTGCATTTAACGCCCCAGTATAACCCCCTTGTTCTCGTGTTCATCCTCTCCCTTCTTATCCTGTGCGACCTGACGCCCCCCCTCAACCTGCTCCTGCTCACCCTCGTCCTTCTTATCCTCCCCCCTCTCCTTGTTCCTCATCATCACTAACCTTACCAGTCCGTCCTCCTCCCTATTCCTCCTCATTTTCCTCATCCTCCTCCTCAGGTTCCCTTCTCCTCCTCCGCCGCCGTCAGGTTCCCCCTTCTCATCCTCGTCTTCCTCCTCCTAACTCCTGCCCCCCAATCTGGGGGGGCGCCTGGTCTTGGGACTTCGTTGCGTCAACTGTTTGCATGTCTCTCGGGAGCGGCCAAGAGGGGTGTGTCCAAAAGGGGGGAGTGCAAATCATGACAGGCGGCATGTGCGCGACCCAGCGGGGTGGCCAGGGACGTACTGAAATAAGAAGAGGCGCCATGAGATCTGGGGAAATATCATGGCCCACGCCATGATATCCACCCCCCCCTAGTCATCACCCCCCTCTTTGCGGCCCCCGACTCTTGAGCACTCCTTACGCTTGGGCCCGGAGATGTTGTGTTCCCGCGAAGCGAGCTGGCAAGGCAAGCGAGCGCGCAGGGAGGGCGGAGGACGCAGACACCGGGGAGCGCAGGGACCCGACGAGGGAGGGAGCAGGAGAGAATCGACTGCTCGCAAGAGTGACCCTGGACAAGAGTGACCTGTGGTGCGCGAATTTCCGGGGGCCGCGGGGGGACCAAACCTGGGCGCGCAAGCAGCTGCTGCTGCCTCCCTTTTAGCCTTCTGGGGAGCAGGAGAGAAGGAGCTGAAACGAAAGTCAAGTCGGGCCTGTCCCCCTACAGGGGGATTTTCAAGGACAGCATTAAAAAAAAATAAAAAAAAAAAAAAAACAAAATGATCAGAAAATGCTCCAAAAAAAATCTCCCGACTTTTTTTCTCTAGTTTTGGACAGTCCCCCCGTAGAGGGACATGCCCGACTTAAACGTAAAGGGGGGAACCGGGTCAAGCGGAGGATGCATCGAGCTGGAATCGCCGATAGATCGGCGATGGCCCCCTGGCAGCGAAGGCGACTGCTCCTGGGTGGGGTGGGCTACCGAGCCCGCTATCGATGCTTCCCCCCCCTGGGCCAAATGCACCCTTGATTAGCGTTGCTCCTGGGGAGCAGGAGAAAGAGCGGCGGCCGTGTCTCGAGACTTCCACGCGTTGCCGAAAATCTCGCCGCGGGCGCGAACGTTCGGACAATTATCTGCCTCCAGGGGCCATTACCAGACCATGGGCCATCAACCCCGACGACGACGACGAAGACGACGACGGACTACTGACTACCGGCGGTCGTTGACGACGACAACAACGACGACAAACGACGACGACGACGACGACGACAACAGCGGCCAGCTGGTGCTTCGCGCTCACGCAGAAGGCGTTATTCCTGCCGAAGTGCCTCACGTCGTGGCATATCGCCGCGATCATGAGCGCGGCCTCGGCAGAGGGGGGAGGGAGGAAGAAGAAGGGAATTACAAGGGATGCTGGAGAACAAGGAGTATTCGACGAGGGAAAAGGGCATGATGAGGAGAAAGGAGGAATAGGAGAGAAGAGCTAGGACGGAGGGCGGAGGAGAGGAACATACGAGGGAAAAGACAGAGGAGAGAGGATGAGCAAGAGGGACGTGGGAGGAGGGAGGAGTGTGTCTGTCTTTCTCCTCCTCCTCCTCCTCGTCCTCCTCCTCCCTCCTGCCCCCTCGTCTGGAGAATGCTCACCAACCTGGAACGGTGGGCTTCACCATCCCCAGCCTCGGAGCCAAGGCCCAAGGAAGTCCTCAATAAACCCCCTCGGCAGTGGCATCAGATCCGTGGACCTCTGGGGGCTACGCTGCTCTGTCTGGGCCGTCTGGGATGGTCGATGCACCACCCGCTCGTCTTCCAGGACTCCGCTGGACAACAGGTTTCCTCTCATCACGACCTCCCCTGCTCTCGTCAAGAGAATGTTCCAGACCCAGTGGCAGCAGCCATTGAATGTACAGGCTGCCGCCAAGCTCGGCCTCGCCGAACCCCTCGACACGACGGTCATGCAGCACGAGCTGCAGGATACCACCATCCCGAGTCATACGCGCAAGACGCTCTTGTCTCACGGCTGCCAGTGCATTTGGACAAAAAAGAAAAATTGTCCCAGCAAGTTATACAGGCGAGGTCGAATGTCACTCCACCACCGTGCCGCTGGGCACGAAGTGGGCGTGTCCTCAGGTCCGCTGCCCAATCCCATGCGCCTCAGTCCTCAGTTCTAAGGAGTCAGTCAGGCGCCCGGACCCCACGTCTCCGAAAACTCCTGGGAATTGTCGCGTGCCACCATGAGCTCCCCCGCATCTCGTCGCGTGACTTGTTCTGGCATTAGGTCCCCAAGACGGGCCAACAGAGCCCAAAGCGGCCCCCAAGACGGCCCAAGAGGGCCTCGAGACGTCGAAGGATCTTTCCAGGACGCCCAAACCCAAGATAGCCCCAAGATAGTCCGAGAGGCCTCCAAGACGCCCCATGAGGCCTACAAGAGGCCTCCCGACAGGGCCCCAAGAGGCTTCATCACTGATGATCCTTAGGTGGTTCAAGGACTTGGGCCTTCTCGCCTTTCAGCTTTCCGACGCTCCAAGAAAGCCCAAGAGGCCCCCAAGACCACCCCAAGACGGCCCAGGAGGCCTCCAAGAGGGCCCCAAGACGGCCGAAGAGCGCCCCAAGACGGCCCAAGAGGCGCCCAAGACGACCCAGGAGGCCCCCAAGACGGCCCCAAAAGGGACCCAAAAGAGGGAACGCGAACCGAAAATCGGAGCCTTCCGCTCCAACAGGCCCCCAGGAGGCCGCAAGAGACGCCCAGGAGGCCCCGATGGGGCCCCCAAAAGGCCACCGAGAGGCAACAGAAGCCCCACGAGAGGCCCGCCCCTTGGGGGCCCACAACGGCCCCCAAGAGGTCTCCAACCTGCCTCCAAGAGGCCACCGAGAAACCTCCCACGAGATTCCAACGAACATCAAATAGGCTTCGTACCCACAACCCAGGCACGGTGGCGGGATGGGCCGAAGGCCATTCGATTATGCAAGGGCCCCTCGACTCGATCCCCCGCAAACTATTTGAGTGCCCAGGCCCCCATACCGGAAGGTCGGAAAGGTTTGAAGACGGCGATGTTCAGGAGCTTGCGGATCAGGCAAGGGTGTCCATATGCTGTTGTGTTCCAACTTCTTCCTGAACCTGTGGGTCTGAGGCCCATCCGGACTAGGTCGATACTGCGAATTACTGGTCTAGGGGTGGCCAACCCCAGGAGGTTCCCATGGAAGGAGAAGCATCCAGAACGGCAACGCTTAAAATCTGGACCCGCAGTTTACGATGCCCCCACCTGGCTGTTGTAAACATGGACAAGACTGGCGACCTAGCTGCCAGCCTCTGAGGCACCGTGGAGGCCAGCTTGCCCCCCCCCACGTCGCCCGCTGCCGAGCACCTGCGGTGTCGAGCTGCTGCGCCGTGCCATCGGCTCAAAGCGTGGACTGAGTTCACAGGCATCCTCTCGGTCCAGCCCAGATGTGAGCAGGAAGGAAACCATGGCGTTTCCGTCTTGGCCAGGGCCCACGACAGTTTTCCTTCCCCCGAAACTGTAAGACCGAATGCCCACCAGGTCTATAAAGGGGCCCCAGGACACACAAATAAATACACACATAAAAATATTCCCCATGTTTTCCATATTTTCTGGGTTTTCGTCTCCCCCCCCACTTCCCATGTTTTCCCATATTTTCTGGGAAATCAACAATTGATTGTGTCTGTGTGTTATTTCCCTTCCTGAACCTAGAGGCCCTGGAGGCTGGCTCGAGGGAATGGTGTGTAGCGAAAGGGATCGACTGGGCGGGCAAGGTCGCCACACAAACCGCGGCCTCCATCCCAAGCCCGTCCCAGCAGAGCTAGAGCTGCACAAGAGTATCGGTGAGACGTAAGACTCGGGTACGGGGGACTCGGGTTGGCCCGACGGGGCCATCATAAAAATGACGAGGCCCAATCTGAAATTTGACGCGAGCTCTCGCTGCAGACATCCCACGAAAACTGGACCGTCCAAATCCAGGACGCGCTCGCCAAAAAGACGTCGGCAAACCCGAGTTCCGGCTTACTCGGGTCTTGCGTTCCCCTGAGAGTAGGTGGTGCCGTCAAGAAATGTGTCAGGCATGCTGCGGAGGCGCGTGCCCTGTGGTCTGTTCTCGCCCCATGGACGGGCAAGAAGGCCTATGACAGGGGAATAAGAAGTGACACAAACATAAAGACTCGGAGGTCCGCGCGGATTTCTCGGATCGGCGCTGGGGCCCCCCGGCGGCGCCTCCGGCGCCGCCCCTGGCGCGCTCCGCGCGCCAGGGAGGGGGGTCCAGCGCCGATCCGAGAAATCCGCGCGGACCTCCGAGTTGTTATGTTTATGCCACTTTTTGTTCCCCGACATGAAAAACAAACCTCCCAAAGTCCAAGCCCCTCTGCCGGGGCTGCTGGTGCAGTCCGTGCATGGGTGGAGCCACCGCCTCGGTGAGTGGTATAGCCTCTCGGCGTGCTCGTGCGTGCCGTAGCTCACGGAGTGCGGCCAAGCACCAGTGGGAGTGACTCACTCGAGCGAGCGACCACACTCGAGCGAGAGCATGCCCATACGTTTATGAGGCCCTCTCGTCGTGAAAGAGAGCATCCAATGAGCATAACTCTCATGGGAGCGACTACCTCGCTGAGTCTGTCAGCGTAGTGTGCAAGCGGTGCGGATACTGCTCTAATAACCTGAAGAGGGCTCCGAGGTGAGTGTGAGGAAAGCTTCCAAAATAAGTGTTCCCAGAATGCTTGGGCGCTCTTGTCGGGCGGCCGTCATCCTAGGAGCAGTTTGAAGGCCACCACCCGACGCTCCCAGCTAATTCCTGCCGTTCAGCTACTCAAGGAAGGGGCCCAGAGGCAGGCCGAATGCGAGCGTACAAGGAGATCAGATGTAACGTCAAGGTCTCGGTTAGGATCGGGGCGACCTAATCCTGGCCTTCCCTCATAGCCTGTGATGGTCCCTCCTATCTCCTATCCCCTCCTCCTCCTCCTCCTCCCCCTCCTCCCCCTCCTCCTCCTATTCCCCCCTCGCACTCATAATATCTCATCCTTCGTACTTCTCCTTCTCCTCATCTGCATGATCATCCTCATCCCCATCCTCATCCCTCTTCATCACTCTTCATCACTCTTCATCCCTCCTCCTCCTCCTCCTCCGCCCTCCACCCTCCATGCCTTTTCCTTATAAATCACTGCTCCCTGTCGCACGTCGAGGCAAGATCATAGGGCGGGCCGGGCGTTTCGCCATATGACTCTGAATCTTAAACGTGGGCAAGAGCTGCACAGATGGAGGGCGCGACGCTTGTTTAATGTGGCTCTCGCCTTAGCGCCGCGTACCTTCATTGTAAACATGTGCAAAGGTTTCACGGATTGAGGGCGAGTGGTTTCCAAAATGTGGCTCTCGCCTCGGCGCCGCGCACATTCGCTCTAAACATGTGCAGGACTTTCGCGGATTGAGGGCGGTTCCTTTTCAACATGCGGCTTTTTCCTCAACGCCGCGCACATTCGCTTTAGACATGTGCAACAGCTTCACGTATTGAAGGCGACCCGTTTTCAAAATGTGGCTCTCGCCTCAGAGCCGTGCACATCCGCTTATAACAAATTGGAGGAGCTTCGCGGATGTAGGGCGTTTCCTTTTGAAAATGCGGCTCGCGCCTTGGCGCCGCGCACATTCGTTTATGTATTGTGCAAGGGTGTCACGGATTCCCGTGATCAATTCCAGGAATCCTGATTTGGTAGGATTCGGAATTATGCGGGCACAACAGTTACGTGTATTCGAGGCGTTGAAGTTCCAAGAATGGCGTTCGGGCGCGATTCAGGATCGTCAAGACGCAAAGGTCAGGTTGATCCGTGGCATTGAAAATTCCGAGCACCATGTTTGTGCATGCTCCAGGGTCTTCAAACGATTTTCTCCAACGAGGCAGTTCCCTCAATGGACATGAACGGCTTTAGGGGCATATGCAGAGGAAATTTGGAGGGAGGGTTTACTCCAACATCGTTGATCACTCTTGGAGTTACACTGGTCCTCCGCCTCCTCATCCCTCCTCCCTCAACCTCCTACCTCCTCCCTCCTCCCTCCCCCCTCTTCCCTCCTCCCTTCTACATCCTGAAACATCCCCCTCCTCCTCCTCCTCCTCCTCCATCATCCCTCCTCCTCTCTACTCCCCCTTGTTGACGGTTGGCAGACACGAGGCGTGTACTTATACTCCCCCTCCTGGTCTTTTTTTTCCTCTTCCCTCTCCACCTCATACCCCGTGGGAACCTAAGCGCCGCGCTCTCTCGAGCGCCGACTGGTACACGGACAGCCCCGTGGCTTCGGTGAGCCACATCGTCGTGTGCATGACCTCGGGGGTGGGGCCAAGAGAAGGACAGCAAAGCATGACGATGGTCCAATCAGACGGAAGGGGGGATGGCGAATCGGCTCACGTAGGGCCTCTGAGCGCCAGACGTCAGAGGCGCCGATGTATCCCGAGGCGCCGGTGCATCGAGGAAGGCGCTCGGCAGCAGATGTTAAAACCCTCCCTTTCCCCAGCGCCCCCTTTTCTCCAACCCGAGACGACGCGGGTGACAAGCACGAAAACGAGAACGATGACGACAACGAGCAGACGGCGGACGAGGAAAAACGAGCAAGGATAGGGTCTCAAGCGAAGAGGAAATTGGAGTAGGAGGGGGAGGAGGAGGAGTATGAGGACGGGGAGGAGGAAGAGGACGAGGAGGAGGAGGCGGAGGAGGACGGAGGACAGCGGAGGACTGTGGGAGGAGATCTGGGCACGGCAAGGCCACTCACTGGACAGAAGGGTCGGTCAGGGCGCGGCCGAAAACACGCCCCTCCAGCTCCCCCAACCGCGCGACGATGGCGTTTAGCTCCTTGTCTTGCTGGATCAGCTGGCTGTGCAAAACTCATGTTTCGGAGCGTAATTCCTTCCAGAAGCTTCATGTTGCTCGCCGCCCTGCCCCTGGCAAAAACATGATTTCCCGGAGGTCCGCGCGGAACTACGAGAAATCATGAATACGCGGTTTGCTGGCAAGACTCGCCGGCCCAAGCGTGGGAGGAGCTTCGGGCAGGTACGAGGGATGATCTTCGCCACAAAAAGGGAAAGAAAGATAGAGAGAGAGAAAGAAAGAAAGAAAGAGAGAGAAAGAGAGAGACAGGGAGGGAGAAGGAGAAACAAAAATGACGCGGTTTGTTGTTCGTTGTCGTTTTCCGCCCGGCGCCGCGCCATTTCCGCCGCCCTTTACTCGTGGCGCGTGGCCGCCTCTTTCAGGCGCTGCGCCCTCTCCGCCGCCGCCCGTCGCGGCGGGTGCGCCGCCGTCCGATACCCCGCGGGCCGCGGCGAAAGTCACGGCCGCCTTCTCGGAGGACCAAGCATTCCCATCGGTGGGAAGAAGTAAGTACAAACATGAAGTTGCGGATCGAATAGTTTGGGTGCGGACCCGCCCAGACATAACCTAAACGCAGCAAAAGCATATCAATTCTTAAAGTAGGAAGACACTTGACGAAAATTTGGTTTTGGGATCTCCTGAACAATCTACGTTCAACGACCGATGAATTAGAGTCCACCCGTATCATGAGGATGCGAGGTTCGGATGCAAGGGCCTGGGAGGGCCAGAGTCACGTTTTTTCGACCGAGGTTGGCCAGCGAAGCTCGCTAAGGATGGGCCAGCAGAGGCAAGAATGCAAGGGTGCCCTGGGAAGGTTGCCTATCCTCACAAAACAGGTTGGCTGTAGAGAGCAGGCGATCCTCCGCCGCGCAAAGTTCAGCTGCGCCGGCAGCCCCCCGCACACCAAGGTACCTGCACCCACTTGACAAGGGGCGAGGCCCCCCCCGCCTTGCCCAGCCTTGCGGCGCCAGTCTGAGCCGACGCGCCGGGCGCCAAGGGCGCAAGTATGCCGGGAGCGGGAATGCGGGGCGAAAGCGCGCGCGCCGCCCGCGAAGGCGGGGCGCGAGCGCCGATGCCAGCAGGATGCAAGCGCCAGTGCCTGCGACCCGCGCGACCCCCAGGCGCGCCGCGACCCGCCCTAGCGGGGCCCCCGCGGAACGCCTGCACGGAGCGCGCAGCAACGCAATGCAAGCACGAGAACAACCGTCGCCCCGTGCGCGCGCGGGCCCTCCTCGCGGGGCCGCGCGCAGCAACGCGCACGCCGTCGACCCCCATCGCGCGCGCGCGAACCCTTATCGCGGGGCAGCGCCCCGCTTGGCGCAGGACGGCGGGGCGCGGCCCGCGCGGGCAGCTCGCCCGCCCGCGCCCAGGCCGCGCGCGGGCGCGAGCCTTGTGCCCGCGCGCAACGCAGCTCAAGTGCGCGCGCTCTGTCGATGGCGTCGCGCGCGCACCGCAAATCTCAGCTGCGCCGGCAGCCCCCCGCGCCCGAATGCGCCTGCGCCCGCGCGACACGGGGCGCAGCAACCCCCGCGCCGCCCAGCCCGGCGGCGCCAGTCTGAGCCGACGCGCGGGGCGCCAGGGGCGCACGCACCCTAAGCCGATGTGCGCCGGTGCTCCGCGCGGCGGCGACGCGCGCGGCACGCGTGCCCCTCGCGAAATCGGGCGGCGCGCGTGGCGGCGCCGCGATGTCGCGACACGCGACGACGGGAATGACCGCGCAAGGGCAGCGTGCGACGCCAGCGCATAGTCAAGGGCGTCCTCAGACACACCCAGGCGCGCCTCGACCGCTTGGCGCGCGAGGACCATTCGCCCACTTGAAGGGTCCCGCGCAGCGCGCCCCCCCTTGATGAAGGTCCAGCGCGCGCCCGCGCCACAGGTCGCGACTGCGATGGAGCGCCGCGTCTGCGACGCCGAGATTGGCGGAGAAAAATGCGGCGCGCGCAGCGAGCCTGCCGCGCCAATGCCCGGGAATGGCCGGCACCCGCGGGCAGACCCGCGAACCAGACACCATGCGCGTGAACTGGGCACGTCGCGGCGCAACGGGCGCGCCAGCGCGCCCGCTGCAGCGCGGAGACGACTTGCTCGTTCTTGCGACGCGCCAGTGTGAGCTGCAGGAAGCCGTCGCACAAAACAAAGGAAGCCCCTCCGCCCAGGCGATAGGCGACGCCGCCGGAAGCAATGCTCAATGCCTCTGGAGGGGGCGCAAGAGAAGCATTTGCGTGACAAGAAAAAGCTGCGCGAAGACGGCGGACTCGCGCCGCTCCCTTGGAAGCTTGAATTGTGCGCAAACTGCGATTCACCGGATGAACTGAGGCGCCCCGGGCAGGAAGGCGCCGCGCTGGCGAATCGAACATTTCGCGCGGCGAAGGGGCGCATCGCGAAATGCGTCTACAAGGAACACACCAGCCTGACGCGCCAGCTTGACGTGTGAGATATGAGTTCGAAAAGTCTAGTCGGAGCGAAATGGCAGCGACCGCGCGACCAGCCCGTCCGCGGGCGGCGGCAGCTCGCGCCCGCGCAGCGCTACAGCCCTTCGCGCAAACGCGAACAATGCTGCCACGCCGCTCTTGAAAGAGGCGATGAAGCGCGCGCCCAGAAGGGCCGCTGCGCGCGTCGATGACAGCTGCTCAGCGACGCTCGCCAGGCCGCCCTGGCCGTCGAGCCGCTGGCGGAGATTGCGGCGCTCCGAGCTCCGCGCGCGGGCCCCCGTCGCGCCGCGGCGCGCGGGCCACCTGCGTCTCCGCAGCCCCTGTCTCCATCGAGGAGCGCGTCGACGGCCGCGCCCCGGGCGGCCCGCGCCCGCGCCGAAGTCGGCCTCTGGGCTCGGGCTACCGCCTGCGCGCGCGCGGGCGCGAGCAACTGAGGCGCGTCGCGAAGTGCGCGGAACGCGATGGCCCCCCGAATGCGTCGCTTTCGGCCGCCGTCGAGACCTGCGCTCTGGAACTGACACTCTTTGAATTCGGCCCCGGCGAGCGCGGATGGGCGCGACGCGTCTCCGGCGGCGAAAGCCGCCGCGTCGGCGTCGAAAGCGCAGCTTCGCGCCTGCCTGGGCAAACGGCTCCCTCCAGAAAAATTCGCATGGAAACGACGCGGCGCGCCCGGCCGCTGCCGATCCGACGGGCGACGAGCGCCAAGCGGAACCACTGACGCCGAGTCGTGGCTGGGCGCGCGCGGAGCGACTTCGCGACGCACGACGCTCGAGCACGCAATGGAAACAAATTATTTGCAACAGTGCACGCGCGCCCGGGCCCTGCCCATCCCAGACGCACGCCGACTCAGCGCGCGAGCCGGGCTGTCGGCCGACAGCTGCTCGCGCGCGGCGCAGCGGCGCCCGCGCCGCCGAGCGCCTAGGCCGCGGGCCCCCAGGGTGCTGCGCTCAGACGCGGCTGATCGAAGGTAGCACCGATCTCGCGAAGGAGCCAGCGCGGCACCCGCGACGGCAAATCAGCAACGTTCAGTTTAGAGGGGGCGCGGTCGACGCGAAGCGAGACGCGCACTTGCGCCGCCTGCAGCCACGGCAAATTGATGAGACACGCGCACTCCCTCTCCTTGGAGGCGCCGTTCCGCGCGGCGGCCTCGGCGCCGAGGTCGTCGGACCAGAGGCGCGCGCGCCTGCCCGCGAGCGCGCCGCTGAACGTGAAAAGGCCGCATCAACCCAATCGCTATGAGCTCGAGGGGCATAATTTGCGCATCGGCCCTCTTCTTGGAATGGCGCAGGGGGCGCTCGGGCCCCGCCCGATCTGAGCAGGGGGCCTGCCCGTCGAGGAACAGCGCGGCCGCCGGGCGGGGCGGCGCGCCGCGCGCGCCGACGAAGAGCTGCGCCGCCTCACGCCGGCCTGGTGCCCAGGCATGGGCCTCGCAAAGTTCCGGCGCGAAGACGCCAGCCACCGTTCGAGCGCGACGAGCCGCTGTTGCGGCGCCACCGCGCCACGCTGCTTCGAGAGGGCTAACAAGTGCCAGATGGGCGCGCGCCCGATGCGATGGAACACGCCCGCGCGCGCCAACATCAGGGCATCCGCCAGCTACGCCGCGCCCCCTCGGCCGCAATATGCGCGACGAGAGCGCGCCGCCAACGCGGCAACGCCACTTCTTGACGCTGTCGGGCGAGGGGGCGCACAAGAAGCCACCGTGGTCTGCGCGGTCCTGAAGGCCCAGGACAAACAGCGGCACGCCCACAGCGACCGCGTCCGCCGCGATCGCAAAGGGCCCGAAGATGCAGCGCGCGAGCCGCGCGATGCACCCGAGCGCGGGCTCGGTCGGCGTGGGCGCGGCGTCGGAATGAACGGGAGGCGGCGCGTGAGGCGCGAGACGAGCGCGCCGACCCTCTCCCGCGGCGCCGAAGGGCACGGCCAGGTGCTCTGCCGTATGGGCCACGCCCTGCGCGTGGAAAACGATGGGAAAACGGCGACGCATCGGCGCGGCGGGCAGCCCACGAAAGGCGGACACGACATCGGCTTTGAAG